GTACCTGTACACATTTCCTAGGTTCATGTTCCCTAACCCAACTGTAAAGGTTGACCTTCTCTCCCCTCGCCCTGTATCTCTCCCCCTCGCCCTGTATCTCTCCCCCTCGCCCTGTATCTCTCCCCCTCGCCCTGTATCACTCCCCTCGCCCTGTATCTCTCCCCCTCGCCCTGTATCTCTCCCCCTCGCCCTGTATCTCTCCCCTCGCCCTGTATCTCTCCCCTCGCCCTGTATCTCTCCCCCCTCGCCCTGTATCTCTCCCCCTCGCCCTGTATCTCTCCCTCGCCCTGTATCTCTCCCCTCGCCCTGTATCTCTCCCCCTCGCCCTGTATCTCTCCCCTCGCCCTGTATCTCTCCCCCTCGCCCTGTATCTCTCCCCCTCGCCCTGTATCTCTCCCCTCGCCCTGTATCTCTCCCCTCGCCCTGTATCTCTCCCCTCGCCCTGTATCTCTCCCCTCGCCCTGTATCTCTCCCCCTCGCCCTGTATCTCTCCCCCTCGCCCTGTATCTCTCCCCCTCGCCCTGTATCTCTCCCCCTCGCCCTGTATCTCTCCCCTCGCCCTGTATCTCTCCCCCTCGCCCTGTATCTCTCCCCCTCGCCCTGTATCTCTCCCCCTCGCCCTGTATCTCTCCCCTCGCCCTGTATCTCTCCCCTCGCCCTGTATCTCTCCCCCTCGCCCTGTATCTCTCCCCCTCGCCCTGTGTCTCTCCCCTCGCCCTGTGTCTCTCCCTCGCCCTGCATCTCTCCCCTCGCCCTGCATCTCTCCCTCGCCCTGTATCTCTCCCCTCGCCCTGTATCTCTCCCCTCGCCCTGTATCTCTCCCCCTCGCCCTGTATCTCTCCCCTCGCCCTGTATCTCTCCCCTCGCCCTGTATCTCTCCCCCTCACCCTGTATCTCTCCCCCTCGCCCTGTGTCTCTCCCCTCGCCCTGTATCTCTCCCCTCGCCCTGTATCTCTCCCCCTCGCCCTGTATCTCTCCAAAGAGCGAAGAATGAGACTCGCCAATCTCTCCTCCCATGAAGGTCGTAATATCAGTTGTCACACTCCTATGAACTGCATTAGATGATTGGAACTTGATAATGCTGTGCCCAGGAGCTGAAGCTCTGCCTGCAAACTCTGCTATATAAGAACACTTACCCCCTCATGTGGGTAGCAGTGCTGCAGATGCTAGAACACTTGGGTTATGTGAACTAGTGTCGCGAAGCACTTCACATCCATTACCTGTAAGTATACAGAAAATGTGAAAATATTCGTATAGACCAAAGACCAAATTTCAGATGAGACTTGTATGCTTTTCCTACCTAATTTAGCAAGGAAGGAACATAGATAATAGAAGTTAGATTTTGGGGTGGTTATGAGGAAGATTATCAGATTTTGTATTTAATTCCTCAGGTGGACACTTTAATATGGGAATATCTCTCTGTCTCTCTCTGTCTGCCAGGTACCGTCTTCAGCGTGGCCTCAGCACCCCAGTTATGCCTCTGGAGGCTCTACGACGTAAGGTGAAGGAGGCGCGCCTGCGTCTCCTGCCCCACGCCTCACCACCCTCCTCCACCTCGCCCCGCAAGAAGGACCCGGGCACCAAGACAGTAACCCCAGACTCCCCAGCCTCCAGACTTTCCTCCCCTAGTTTGATCAGAGATGATCAATCCCCGTGTAGGGGAGAGCAGCGGAAGACAATTACGCGGCCCATGGGATGCTCCTCCCTCCAGCAGTACTGGACGGGTGAGGGGAGCGGCGAAGAAGAAATTGAGCTCCTGCAGCAGTACCTTAACCTGCAGCAGCTGGCGGTGTCGCGGAAACATTCGACACAGCTGCGCCGTATACGCGACTCTCTCCTGGCACGCGTCAGAAGTCGGCCGACATCCATGGTGAAGAGCCCAACCTCGCCGCCTCCCCCAGCAGCCTCCACTCCCAATAAGGACCGCCAGGCACTGCGAAATTTCCTTCTTGATATTGGCTTCGTGCAGTACTACTCACTCCTCAACAGACACGGGTAACCTATACATCATTGTCTCCCATGCTCTTCTCTCCTCAAATGGAAGGGGTAACTTGTATATCCTGGACTGCATGTTCTCTATCCAACCCGTCCTCTTAAAAATAACGTCACTTTTGGCTCGTATGCGCACTATGGCCAAATTTGGACGTAATTTGAAATGAAATCGACTCACAAAAGTGACGTTCTGTTCCGTTTTCTGCTTGAGTCGTCCGGCGTACGCGCAGAGGTTATAAGAGGACACTTTAAATTAACGTTTTTCATAACGCTTTGAAACTTTATGAGAATTTCCTGCCCACCTAACCTATCAGAGGACCCTTAACTTACTGTTGTTGAAAAAAAATCCCAAATTTATTTTCATTTTTTTTTCAATTTCGAATTACGTCCAAATTCGGCCATACGGGCAAACGGCCAAAAGCGACGTTCTTTTTAAGAGGACAGGTTGCTCTATCATACCCTTCTCCTCAATGTTATTAAGTAATCGTGTATGTGTCATTTGCTTCCTGGCGTGAGGTTGCTGCTCTTTCTCTCATCTGCCGCTCCTTCCATCGCTCTTGCTGTCTGTAACTTGGGAATTTAGTGTCCTTGTTTAAGTGTGATGATATAGTTCATCATGTTTCTCACAGTAACCCCCTGTGTGAATTATTAATCCAGCAATATCTTGGGTAATAGAATACTACCTTTTATTTGCTACATCTTTTATCTTAAAATATTCAAAAGCTGCATTAGCCACTTTTTTTTTTTACTTAATTAACATTTTTACACCCATTAGTTAAGTGTAATGGGCATGGTGTTCTGGGCAGTGACATCATAGTTGACATCTTTGCCATCCAAGATGCCAACGATGATGTCACTGCCCATTACATTGATCTTTTAATCTGACTAATCTTCGTATGTACCGCTTATCGATCCATGCCTCTAAACATTCCTTCTTACTTCTCACCTAATTGTATGTACTTGACCTCCCAGAGGTATCAATTCAATATGTTCATTCTTGTTCAAAGATAATCATGGAAGGATTACCAGCTATAAAATCAGCATGTGACTCGCAGAGGCTCAAAGCAGTCAAATAACAACAAATAGAAACCATCTCAAGACCCACAACGACTCACATCTTCACAGACGGATTAGTTGATCAGGAAGGAGGTTCTGTTGGGGCAACAGTTTACACTAACAACCATAAAGCTTACTGGAGCATGAATAGTGGGTGCTCAACATTGCAAACTGAATTATATGCCCTGAAGGAGGCCATAAATTATACAATTGAGAATAATTTACATGATGTCATCATGCATACCGACTCTAAATCTTCGCTCCAAAAATTGTTATCCAGTCAGCACAGAGATAATAAACAACTCGTCACAGAAATCCTACATATAGGAAAACAAGCACACAATCTAGGGCTGTCAATCACCCTAAATTGGATACCAAGTCACACTGGTATAGATGGTAATGAAAAGGCAGACTCATTATACAATACAATACAATACAATTTTATTTAGGTAAGGTACATACATACAATAAATATTTACAAGGATTGTTAACTTATAGGTATAGCTAGTACATACAATGCCTAAAGCCACTATTACGCAAAGCGTTTCGGGCATGATAAACTTAAATGACAAGCTTAATACTAATTGAGCATAATGAGTAGAATGAAAACAAGAAATGAAAACATAGATGAAAAAGCAGCACAAATACAATTATGTCGACAAACAGCGCTCTTTAAAGAAAAAAACAGACATTGGTTGACAATAGAAGGGTAAGGTAGGTTACAGGGAATTTATTAGGTATAGCTTCGCTTTTAACTTAAACTGGTTGAGAGAGGTACAGTCTTTAACATGGTTGGGAAGGTCATTCCACATTCTGGGCCCCTTGATTTGTAGAGCATTTCTAGTTTGATTAAGTCGTACTCTAGGAATATCAAAACTGTATTTATTTCTGGTGTGATGCTCATGGGTTCTGATACAACCTTCTATGAAGCTTTTGAGATCAGGATTGGCATTATAGTTTAGCGTTTTATATATGTATAATACACATGAGAGAATGTGCAGTGACTTAATGTCTAACATATTCAGAGATTTAAGTAGGGGTACCGAGTGGTGTCTGGGGCCAGAATTGGATATTGTCCTAATAGCAGCTTTGTGTTGAGTAATTAGAGGACGTAAGTGATTTTGGGTAGTAGAGCCCCCAAAAAAAAAAAAACTGCCACTGCTCTACCTGTTGTACAGGTTCAAATACCTCCAAGTTTTTCACAGATTAAGGAGCAAATCAAGAAGAAAATACTCCCAACTATCAGAAGTCGCCACAGAGCCAAAGTAGCGGAAGGAAGATCCACTGCGATGTGGTACGAACAAGCCACTGGGTACTACTCTTTCAAGCCTGACAAAAAGATATCCAGAGACATTGCAGTAGCCATACACAGACTCACACTTGGTTACAAGTGCTGCTGGGAGGTAATAAACCCAATAGTTAAAGTGTCATATGTGTGGAACAGCAGCAGAGGCGTCACTATTGGACTACTTACTGGAATGTGAAGCTACTGAAGCCCTGCGCATCAAACTCAACATTAATCCAACGACAACAGCTGCATTAGATGCACATTCCACAGCGACTACAATGATTAGAAAAGCAGTTGAAGAATGACACACTAGTGAACACTGTCCGTCTACATCCGCCACCAATATAATACTATTAAAACAACACTAAAACCAGAGCGCTAAAGCAGAAGCGGAAAAGAAACGGAAAAAAAGGAGGAAACCCCTCCACCATTTAAAACTTTGACCCAGATATCACAGTAACAAGGTTATTGCAAACAACCAAACTTAATTACGGCTCAATATATCTTGCTACATGGACATTTCGTTCTAAGTAGCTATATCTAAAACAACAACTGTCCACGTCACAGAGAGGCCGCATACAGCCCCGCTCCTGTGCCAGTCTACTATGGGTTCACCATAGACCGTGCTACTTGGAAATTTTTGTTCCTAGTAGCAGTGATGTGCTATCCTCATGACAGTGACACGTTACACCCCCCCCCCATGACAGTAACGTGTTACCCCATGACAGTAACGTGTTACCGCATGCCAGTAACGTGTTACTCCCAGTAAGAGTAACGTGTCCCAACTCTCCGGCAGATACGACCTACCAACGGCTGCGCACATGGACGCGCTGGACCTGGCCGGGGTTGGCATCACTGAACCCCTACACAGAATGGCCATCAAGTTCGAGTTCGACCTGGTGAGTTAATTCGAATCCAGTTTTCTTTAGTGACACCTGTTATAACTTTGTATTCGAGGATAGCCTCACCTGGTGTAAATTTAAAAACAATACTTATTACCGATGGGTTAAGTCATACTTTTGCTTAACTGAACTCGGTTATGTTCCAAACGTTGGTGAAACGTGGTTTCAGCCCATGGCGTGGAGAAGTTGATGGATTGTCAGTCACTAGGTCAGTCAGGTTAGTGCCTGGACTGGTTGGGTGACCACGTAGACAACCTCGGCCTTGACAACGGGGGCCCTGAATATGTCTAACAGGCATCCTGTCCACGAAAGTGGTATGCCTACACACAACTATTTACACCACAACTTTTCTCAAAATATTTCTTTCACCTTTTCGCCTTGAGAGTAATGACGACAAAGACATTCTATCCAGAGGGTCAATAATGATTATCTAATTGCTCTCACATTAGTATCTAAAAATACAATTAGTAAATAGAGTGATAACTTAATTGACAAAGATACCATAGTTCGAGGATTAGCAACTTAAATTTAGTGGGCCAGCCAGAGGCTTAGGGCCCACGCGGGAATATCCCTGCATATATATCACGTCTTGCTGACAAATCTTTATCAGCGAACATTAGCAATGTTGTTTGTTGTTGTTCAAGATTCGCTACTTGAAACAAAAAGTTCCAAGTAGCACGGGCTATGGTGAGCCCGTAGATTAGCAATAATTTCCAGATGGCGAGGAAACCGAGAGGTTATTCAATACAATACATGGCAATTACTTGTGTAGGTTTACACAACCTGTCCTCAGGTTTTCCTATGGTCTTCCTCTCCACAGTACGTGCAGTTCGCATAACGGGTTCACCCTCCCCGATGACTGCAATTAATATGGTCAATGCATCACAAACTATAGATTAACGCTTAAAACAATTGAAATAATAGAATTACTTCATGTAATAATATTACTAGTAATGTAATATTATTAAATATGTAATATTTAATGCTCGTGCATTTGACGCCAGCTTTGGAATTATTTAAGTTCTGGCTTGGACCCGCGACGTGTGACCTACCACAGTGGGGCAAAGATGTATGCTAGAACTGTGTGCAACATTTGTGTCTGCAGTACTCTGCATTCCATAGTCACAGTATACATATTATGTGCATAAACTGTATACTTATGCACCTATTTGTGATCAAAGACAGTATTGGAGCAAAAGCCCTAACTAATATATGGCAACTCGCCCATCACTTTAACACTAGCAATAGTAAAAGAAAATATCAGCTAGGTTGTCTGTTTTAGTCTGAGAGTAACCTCTCCGTAGACGTGCAGGTCCCTACCATCCTGCATTACTGATTACAGGTCACAAAAGTCACTGCTAAGTGCCCAGCTGCATGAGGCTACAAAATAGAATGCAAATCGTTCTCACATTAACAAACCTGAAATATATACCAATCAATACATTACTGACAAGTCCAAAGTCAATACATATATAGGGCTACACTGGACTACTCTGTGTAGCCTACTATTTTTGTGAGACGGCGCTGCAGAAATTTTATGGAAACACTCCGGAGTCTAAATAGGATGGGATGGTAGTGGCGCTCACTGCGTCTGCTACCCGCTCGCTACATGCCAAGCATTATTTAAGCTCGGGTTTCTCTGACCAGCCCAAAACATCGTATGATGTAATGCTGAAGCATATGCTGCAAAATACTCAACATTTTGCCCTATATGACTCAGAGTGTAACCACAGGCTGAATGTAATCATTCAAGCTTGATGATCAGGACACATGTCCGGCCTTCCAGGATGTCATGTACACATTTGTAATCATTTTCGTAACATTCTACGGGCCCGTAAAGGAAATTCTAATAAAACTTCTAAACAAATATTTGAGCGTACCACAGAAGACCCAGTGTCAAGCTGTGGGGCGCTCTCGCAACTCATGCAATTTGAAGAATCCCTTCAAAAACCCTTAGACGATTTAAAAAGAGACAGAATTTGTCGTCGAACGGAATTCTGGAGCTGTACTCCAAGCAGCACTATCCTAATGGGAAGAGAATCGTATGGCTCTTTAAGTTGAGCACATCTTAAGCCTAGGATATTCATTAAAATGCTTAAACACTTCGTGACAAGTAAACAACTACACCCAAGGGTGTAGTTGTAGCAAAGAGTTCATGGCTTCTACGTTGCACCCACTGAAGTTACAAGGGGGAAGGGGGGGGGGACTACATGGCAGAAGTATCATGTTAAAAATAATAGCCTTGTTACAGTAGGAAGAAGGGTACAGTTTCTAACTTAAAAGACAATCCATGAAGCATTATATTAATATCAGTCAACCAAATTTATGATATTCAGGAGAAATATAAGAATTTTATGCTACAAATGTCAATATTTATAAGCCTATTTCCACTTCTATTTATAAACAATGCCTTTATATCTATATGTATTTATATTGTTAAAGTATTTTTTCTGAATATGCCTATTTGTGTGTACGTTATTACTTCAGTACAGGGAGAAATATAAATATTTTTCACCAAGAATGTGAAGTTATATCCCCATTTTTTTGTGAAGAATAACAGTTAAGCACATTGTGTTGAATGGGGTATGAATAGCTTTAAATACATCTCTTTGTGAGTTCATATCTCAATAACATTAAAAGAACCACATATCTCTTGTCTATCCTATGTGATCAGCAACACTAAAAGGCTACCAATGCTCAGTTTCAGTTAGGCTACAAATATACTGTACCTTGGAAAATGCATCAACTACGGAAGTAGATACTGTATAATAAAATATGCACAACGCATTGAAGTAGATACAACCAAATATATACTATCCATAAGTAGATACATCCAAATATGTACTATCCATAAGTAGATACAACCAAATATTTACAATCCATAAGTAGATACATCCAAATATGTACTATCAATAAGTAGATACAACTAAATATTTACTACCCCACTGTAGTAGATTTAATCAAATATGTACCATCTACTTTAATATACATAACCAAATAAGCACCACCCACTATAGTAGATATAACCGGAAAATTGGTTTACTGAGAATTATATCAAATATATAGGAATGCAATATTTTCCCTTGTAAACTGATGTAAATATTATCTTTATATTTGTATATAATTTAATATAAACAAAAAAGTACAGTATAACATTTGGGGTTTATAGCTAATGCTCTGTGATATGAAAAATTGGTTTACTGAGAATTATATAATTAAAAAAAATTTACACCTCCCACTTCAGCATATATAGCTAGATATGCATCTCCCACTATAGTATATATAGCCAAAAAATACACTACCCACTGAAGTAGATATAACTAAATATAAACTACCCAATGAAGTAGATATATCCAAATATGAACCGCCCACTGAAATAATCAAACATGTACCAGACACAAATAGATATATAACCAAAATGTATACCACCCACTGAAATAGATATAATCAAATATGTACCACCCACTAGAGTAGATAGCCAAATATGTACCACCCACTAGAGTAGATATAACCAAATATGTACCACCCACTAGAGTAGATAGCCAAATATGTACCACCCACTAGAGTAGATAGCCAAATATGTACCACCCACTACAGTAGATATAACCAAATATGTACCACCCACTAGATAGCCAAATATGTACCACCCACTAGAGTAGATATAACCAAATATGTACCACCCACTAGAGTAGATAGCCAAATATGTACCACCCACTAGAGTAGATATAACCAAATATGTACCACCCACTAGAGTACATATAACCAAATATGTACCACCCACTAGAGTAGATAGCCAAATATGTACCACCCACTAGAGTACATATAACCAAATATGTACCACCCAGTAGAATAGGTTTAACCAAATATGCACCACCCACTGTAGTAGATCCAACCAAATATCCATCACATTCTAAGGAAGAAATATCCAACTCCAACCTCTGACAGTAAAATTATTCTCCCCCTCTTACTTCAATATGTATGAAATTGCAACAAAAAATATATATTAGATAATTGATGTCAACAATTTTAAAGAAATGTCCAAATGCTTCATATATAATAACTTCATTCATTATCTAAAATGTTTATTAATAGTCGTACCCTAGTCATATTATTACATATGAAGTATTTGGACATTTCTTTAAAATTGTTGACATCAATTATCTAATATATATTTAACTTGTTTTAAATATATAGTAACTTGTTTTGGCACGAAGGATAGTGTGAGCCAAGTACCTGGATCTATTATATGCCTATATGAAGTTTGCTCTATCACCCACAGGATTTGCTTGGGATGCATAATAAACAAAATATGTCAATTAAATTTGGGTCGTGATCCAATATTTGACTACCTTTGAAACGAATTTAATATTCCAAGAAGGAAAATGTAACTTAATGGCTCTGAAGTTCAAAGGAATCTTTTCGTAAAACTGAACTTTACGGAAAAGAAATATATATTGGTCATTTGGGAAACAAAATCGCTCTATCGCTCTGCATGGAAACAAAATACTAAACTACAAAATTAATTTGCCATGCACTACGTAAATAGGCTAGTAATATCTACTGGTTGCTGGTTTCATGCCTAAATGGCCTTGGAATATATATAAGTAATAATTAGTTAATGTCAAACGATAAATCCACCCGTTGCCAATCATTTATTATTCTCATTTGGCTATTTTTATCAGCCTGGAGTTCAGTTCCACTAGATTCACCAGACTTCATGAAGGAATATATACCGAGAAGTGTATTGGGCGTCTCAGAATATATACACAGGCGTTACTTTAAACTATAATTAGGACTAAAATATGTTTGCTGGTTGATCAGTGTTATGGTGACTAAACAACCCTCCCGCGGTTGACAGCATAACACCGGCTACCTTAAAAAAAACCACATCAACCTGCTAATTAACATACTTTCCCGTGTCCTCATGCCACTGGTGCGGTTACCTGCAGGTGAGAAGACCGCCTCCAGTTCCTGACGAGGTGCCGGAGACGATTCAGGAGTGGCTGGAGGGCCTGGGTCTGCCGGACTACGTGGAGAACTTCCACCAGAACGGCCTCTACTGTCCCCTGGCGGCCCTCGGCCTCACCAAGCGAGACCTTCAGCTCATGGGGGTGTACATGCTCGGCCACCGCAAGAAGATTCTCCTCGCTATCATCGGCCTTAAGGAAGCCTTGTTTAGGAAAGAGGGAGAATGAAGGAGGACAAAGAAGATGAATATGTATATAGCGATTAAATAATTTAATAGGTTCCGTTCTGTGGAATTTTGGTGTTGTGTGAGCAGACGCTGTATTGAGGTGCACTTTTTTTTTAAGTTTTCAACGCAATGCAATTTTACTATTATTCATTTTAGAGGCTAAGTAGTATAATTTAACTACAAAGATGCTTTCTTGATAATATAATTATACATTTTATTCTATCAAATACAATTTAACTTGTGTAAATTTCAAGAGGTTGGCAGGCCTGTAGTTGAAGCCTAAAGCCAAGCTGGGGCACAGATGCTAATCGCCCGTGTGTCTATTTACGCCCAAAGACACAGATGGCATTATAAGCAAGAGGAAATATTAAATACACCGAGATGTGTCCACTTTCTCGGTGTATATACATTTAGAGTTTACTTCATTCCTGAACTATGTATAGGACTAAAGTACACTTGCTGGTTGGTTAGTAACCTGCGTGGTGGCCTTAATAACCCTTTGGCAGTTGATTGGCTTTCAATGGCGCTGTGGGAAAGTTGACGTACACATTTACTTAACGCTGTCCGGTGCCTGTGCTTAAGTTTCAGGGAATATCAAGTATTCGATAGTTATATCTGATATTCGCCTTCGAGAAGTGTACCCAGCTTGTCGGTGAACATTAAGAGTTGACTTTACTCCTGTACTATGTTCAAGACTGTCTTGAACATAGCCCTTGACTTGACCAAGACTAATAAGCTTGAACATAGGTAAGCTGTTGAGCGGCCTTAATAACCTTCCAGAGGTTGAAAGGCCTTGAGCCCAACACCAAACCAATGTCGAAAATTAAATTCGCAATGAAGCCCAGGAAAAAGGAGACATAGGGGATGAATTCAATATACTGTATATAAAACAGGTTGAGTGGATTACTGATCCAACAATAATAAACAATAATGTTTTATAATAAACAAGGACAACGTTACAGCTGGAATTTAAATTCTAGGTAGATAAGCATTTAGTATAAGCGTTTAAAAATAACATAATACAAAAAATCCACATTACATTATTTTTCAATAGTCTTGTATAGTAATTTATCTTTTTCGAAAGAGCGTGACTTAAAATGCTATGACATTTTTGTTCTATATGTTAAGTGTTCTTAATATCAGTTAGGCCTTACATAAATGTACTGTATATTAGTTTATTATTATTATATTATTTGTATTGCTATTAGTATTTTTTTTAATTACAATAGCATTGCTATTATTTATTATTATTATTTGATGTGTAATAAAGGAATACAAGCAACATGACAAGGCTAGGCATTAGCCTCATGATAATCATGCTCAATTTATTATAAATATAAAAATTCATCGTGAATTTTCGATGACCACAATAAATAATTGTTATCATATCAATATATATACATTAAGACTTGAAATTGGTATTTTCATTATGCACTATTTACAAATTGGCACTACTTAATTAGGTTTATATTATATATATATATATATATATATATATATATATATATATATATATATATATATATATATATATATATATATATATATATATATATATATATATATATATATATATATATATATATATATATATATATATATATATATATATATATATATATATATATATATATAATGTTGTTGAATATGACCGAAATGGTAAGATTAATGATTTTAACCAGATCCTAATATTTCTTATGTTTTTCTTCACTGTCGGGGGTAGTTGAAAAATTAACTCTCCAAAGTTCATTTTCACACTTTTATTTATGGTCTGACGCCTAGAAGCGTTTCGCAAGAACACTTCTTACATTTTCAAAGACAATAAAGACAATACTCAGATTGTGTTTATATTCGTTTTTGGGTGAGGTGATAGGATATAAATGTTTTTGGGTGAGGTTACAAGACACAAATCAAATGGGAAAAGACAGAACACGAAACAATGGGTCGAAACAACTCTTCAGAGGTTGCATGGCGTTTCACCCCACTTATCCATGTTGCAAGGGTAGGTACACCTCACTTACCCACGTTGTAAGGGCAGGTACACCTCACTTACTCACGTTGCAAGGGCAGGTACACCTCACTTACTCACGTTGTAAGGGCAGATACACCTCACTTACCCACGTTGTAAGGGCAGGTACACCTCACTTGCCCATGTTGCAAGGGCAGGTACACCTCACTTACCCATATTGTAAGGGCAGGTACACATCACTTACCCACGTTGTAGGTACACACGGCTTGCCCATATATATTAATATATTAAAATTAATCTTTGCTCATTGTGATCTAGATAGAACGTAAACTTAGTTTTTAAAGAAATAAGATATTTATGTAGATAAAGAACAGTATTTACGAAAGCTGTTTTTCTATAATAATATAAAGAACAGCGGTCTTAGATTAGTATTGTAAATATAAATTATTTGTATTGCTTCTGCTTTGAATATTTAAGATTCCATTACATAGGATGAATGAATGTAAAAAATTAGGGTGTTCCAGTTGTAATCTTGTGTAATGTAATGTAATGCTATTAATCTTAACAATGTTATTGTTAAGTTGGTAATTGTGTGATATGCAGGAGTGCTGTAGTGTGTTGTTGGAAGAGTCGGTGAAATTGATGAATGTACATAGTATACATAACTAGTACATAGTATACATAACTAGTACATAGTATACATAACTATAGCTGGTATATTGCCTTCTGTTGCGTGTTGTTTTATGTCGTGAGATCAGTTTGGGTGAGCAATTGGGGTTAGCGAGGCTGACAAAGGATAGCGAGTGCCTTCCTCCTTTGCGCTTAACTCAAGTTCGAAGTGTTTTCAACTGTGATAGAACGTATATAGTGTACAAGTTGTTTAAGAATTAGTTTAAATGTGTGATCTATTATACAATCAACATTTGTTGGTTCCATGCCTCATCTTCCAGTACGAAGCGCAGGTAAATTTTAGACAAATGCAAGTGCCGGAGTTCGGACCAGATTCACGAAGCAGATACGCAAGCACTTACGAACCTGTATATCTTTTCTCAATCTTTGGCAGCTTTATTTACAATTATTAAACAGTTTATGAGTTTCGAAGCATCAGGAGACTGTTTATAACAATAACAACAGTTGATTGGGAAGTTTTCATGCTTGTAAACTGTTTAATAAATGTAACCAAAGCCGTCAAAGATTGAGGAAAAATATACACGTTCGTAAGTACTTGCGTAACTGCTTCGTGAATTTGGCCCATTAATATGAAATTTGTTCTTCCTACGGCTAACAAATGGCATTATGTAATACGAATTTGTGTTTTTGTGGAACTCACGTCTAATTTTTACGATGTCTGTCGTAACCATTAGTAGTAGCATGATTATGTTAAACACTTCTCACGAAAACTTTAAAACATATAAGCAATGTTTGTATTATTTCAACCTATCCTCCAAGAATGATAGTATATATGCTGACTATGGATGGAATGTACCAAATATGGACTGTTACACATTATCACTTCAAATTCATCATGGGGGCATAATGCGGTAAAATCAGAGTTGTTCAAACTTTATTTAATAGAAAAAAAATATATGGAAAAAGCTGCAACTGGTCCACGTTTCAGCATCACAGCCTAAATAGAAAGGGAGAAAAATACGCACTTTACACGATTTTTCAACGTGATACTACAAACACCAGTGTCAACCGAAATCATTTCTATGACACTTTTCTATCACTTTAGCATATAATAAAAGGATCTGTTTAGCGGATTTTTTAAAATATGTTTAGTTTTACTAATACAAATAGTCAAAGATCAATAAAAAAATTATGCAAATATATCTTGGTTTATTACTATTATAAAGTAAATAAATGAACTTAGGAAAAAATGCTTCTTACAGATTGTAGAGACATAAACTCTACATATAAGGTGCAAGTTTCATGTAAATTGAATAAAAAATGAAAAGAGTTATAGGAACGTTTATGATACTTGAAAATAAATAAGTAAAAAAAATAGTCTAAGATGCTGCCATCTGTGGAAGAGGTTGACATCAATCAATTTCCTGGCACCCTTGGCACCCTTACAGATAGGTTTACGTGCATCAGGTGTATAAGTTTCATGCAAATCGTCCGATAAACAAATAAAAAAAAAATTAACTAATTTTGTTTATATAAAACTAATTATTAAATATTTTTAGTATATGCTATTGTGATAGCTGAGAGTCAAAGACATGATTTCAGTTGACATCATGTGTTTATGTTTGATGTTAATTTTTGACCATTTTGGAAAATTTTTGACACATAATTCAATATTTTTTTTCTCCCTTCCTATTTATGCTACGATGCCGAGACTTCGGCCAGTTGAAGTCAATTTCATATATAAATAGCCAAAAAAGTTTGAAATCGAACCAGTTTCTCTTATTATATATTTTGCCAATAAGCCTCCTGAAGTTTGAGGAGTCCTCTTACGGTACGTCAATTTATTTATTTATTTATTTATATACAAGAAGTTACATTGGGGGTTAAGAGAGAACATAGGAATGATATTGATTTTACAATCTTGTAAAGCCACTAGCACGCATACCGTTTCGGGCAAGTCCTTAAACTAACAGATTATTTTAAATAGATTATTTACAGTAGAATTGACAACAAATGTTTATAGGTACTTTACAGCTATATTTTACAAGTACAGGCACAGATAATTTTAAGCAGATAAATTACAGTAAGGTTGACAACAATTTTTTACAGGTCAACAAAAATAAAGATTAGAATAATACACAATAATAACAAAACACTATAATGAACAAGGATTTCTAGGTACATTTGAATACATTAGGATAAAATATCAGGGTTATACATAGATTCACTGTAGTACAATTTAAGAATCATTTCAATGAATAGTGCCGTAGAATATGCACTCAATATAACAACCATGATATCAGATGATATCAAAGATTACAATGGTAGAGTAATATGGCTTAGGTACATATATCGGGGGATTTGGTAGCACTAGATACAATACGAGTTAAAGTACTAGGTAGGAAACTATGAAGATGAAATTAGGTACTTTTTGGTTACATTTTTGAATAAGGCAAAAGTTGGACAGCTTTTCAATTCATTAGGGAGTGTGTCCTACAGACTAGGTCCCTTTATTTGCATAGAGTGTTACACAGATTAAATTTAACTCTGGGGATATCAAAGAGATATTTATGTCTGGTGGGTTGAGTATGTGATCTATTACATCTATCCAGGAATAGTTTAAGAACAGGGTTTGCACTTAAGAAAAGGGTTTTATAAATGTAATTGACACAAGAGAATGTACGGGGTGAATTTATGTTTAGCATGTTTAAGATTTAAACAGGGAAACTGTGTGTTGTCTGAAAGCAGAGTTTGTTACTGTCCTGATAGCAGATTTTTGCTGGGTGATGATGGGCTTGAGGTAGTTTGCAGAGGTTGAACCCCATGCACAGATACCATACGTAAGATAGGGATAGATAAATGCGTAATAGAGTGAGAGGAGAGCAGAATAGGGCACACAATATCTGATCTTAGAGAATATACCAACTGTTTTAGAAATCTTTTTAGTTGTGTGATGTATGTGGGTGCTGAAGTTGAGTCTCTTATCTAAATATAGGCCAAGGAACTTTCCATCATTTTTATTGCTAATGTCTATCTGAAGCTGAATTGCATTTGTTGATTTGCTTCCAAATAAGATGTAGTAGGTCTTTTCTATGTTTAGTGTGAGTTTGTTGGTTGACATTCACAAGTGGACTTTTTTTTAATTAATTGTTTACAGCATTATTTAATATTATATTAAATATAATGGGGTTGGGGTCAGAGTAGACGAGGTCAGGGTTGGGGTCAGAGTAGGGGTCAGGGTTGGGGTCAGAGTAGATGCGGGTAGTATTATCAGCAAACAATATCGGCTTAAGTATGTTAGAGACATTAGGCAGATCATTGATGTATATAAGAAATAGAAGGGGTCCTAGGATGCTGCCCTGTGGCACCCCTACGGTTAATGGTAGAGTGGGAGAGGTTATATCATTGATGGCTACATATTGGTGTCTGTCACTAAGATAGGATCGGATATAGTTCAGGGCAAGGCTGCGGATTCCATAATGGTGGAGTTTAAGTAAGAGATAGTTATGGTTAACAGATCAAAAGCCTTTCTCAGGTCAATGAAGAGCCCAATCGGAAACTCACTTTTCTCAAGGGCTGAGTAGATTGTTCGTAGAGAGGGGGAAGAGTCCTCGTACGGTACGTCAATGTTCACAGCATGTTACCATTCTGTTACCAAACCAGTCACGGGATAAAACAATGTTAAAGCTGTAAGTATTCCGCTCATCCTCCTAAAAGGAAAGTACTTATAGTAACTATGTGGTCAAACGTACACATATGTCGAGATGGACCACCTGAAAGTCGGTTTTTGTAGTACTGAATTTAAACAAACCGGAAAAATTTATTAATGAATAAATGAAAATGTTACTAATGAATAACTTAACCTAAGCATCCTAG